TGAGTATGAGTATTTATAGATGTTATAGAGGGTAAAAAAAATAAAATTGAATTTCAAGCCATCTAGCCGTTGGAATTAAAAAAATATATATCACATTATACCGTTAAAGAGCAAATACTTAAAAAAAAACATTTTATACCCAATCACGAAAGGAGCGAGAACGCGAAAATCGAGCCCCTTACCCCCTTCCCTGCACAGGCCTTCCCACACCGCCCGTGCGGTGTTCATTGGAGCGGGAAAGGTCTTGCCCCTCTTCCCGCATCCGGTTCCGTCCGGTCTAACTACATAATCCCGATTATTTGAATGACTTCAAAACCGTGAGTTACTCAAAAATAAAATTAAACATAATATATGATTTAATGTTATTTATAGTTTTTGTTATTGTTAATTAATTTTTTAAAATTTATTTGTTTAACTATTTAATTTCTATCATTATAAATATTTAAAACGTCATACATCGTTTTTTTTATTTTAATGGTAACAATATAATCATTTATATAGAGTTATTTTTAACTATTGTTATTGTAAGTTATTTTAAGCTACTTATTTGAAAACTTTTAACGATTATAAAAATATATTTAAGAAATATTTTAGTTAAATTGATATTACAATTTAGTTTTTTGCATTTAGAACTACAATTTATCACTTTTAACTATTCACAAAATATTCTTTGGACTTTTTAAATGGAACTGAAATTTATAGTTAAGTTAACATTATAATGTTATAGTTAAATTAACAATTTAAGTATTTTGTCCAAACTGTTCAAAAGTTGTAGTTTTAAACTGATAACGGTTTACATACAAGAACATATTAAAAACTAATAAATTAAGTATAATATGTTAAAAGTTTAAGACATAACTTTATAAGTATAAGTAAATATATTATTCTAATATTGAAATTTAGTTTATTTATGATTACATGTTATGTTTGATATTTATTTAATATTGAAATTTAGTTTATTTAAGTATTTTATATAAATTGTTCAAAAGTTGTAGTTTTAAAATGATAGTGGTTGACATTCAACGACATATTAAAACTAATAAATTATGTATAATATTGAAATTTCGTTTATATATGATTACACTTTAGGTTTGATATTTATTTAACCTTATTAACCAACTTATAATCATTATTAGAAAGAAATTGAAAAAGTCATGGGAGTTTCAAATGAATTTGGTAAAAGGAAAAATGCATGGAAGTTTCAAATGGATGTGGTGAAAGGAAAAATGTTTTATTTATACGTATATATAAATTAGTTGTGAGACCAGTATGTTATACGGGTTGGATAAAACAAAAAATCTATTTAAATTTAAAATTTAAATTTTAAAACTTGAATTTAAAAGGAAGCATATTAAATACTATATGAGTAATATTATAATTTATTGGTTATTTTTCATATAAGACAATTATTAATTGAAGTGTAAATATGATATGTTAATTAATAAAATATTTTAAAAAAATGACAAAATGACAAATGGAAAAAACATTTATTCAAAAATACCAAAAAATAATATGTGCCCCATGGCGGCGGTGATGGGACTAGATGGTGACAACAACAACAAATTTGTGATAACAGGCACCACCTCATGGTGGTGGTAGCGGTTCTTTTGAATCCCGTCCGAGAAACACACTCCCACACGAACATGCTTGGAGAATGGTGGAACAACAACATTATAGTGGAGCTTATGTGACCAAGTCTTCATCGTGTTGGCCTTCTTTTCAGATGGCAAGAGATAGCCGGATGCAGCCTGGTCATGACGAACAGTTGGTGATGTTGTTAACGGTCGCAAACTGTCGTGTAGCGGCGGGAGAAACTGAGGAAGGAACAACATCCTCCACAATGAACGCAACCCAACGCTTTTAACATCAAATCGGGAAAATGACTCGGCCTCCTCGTTGGCAGTAAGACGGCGACGACGCTACTAGTTGTAACGCCCGGGTTTCGGGGCTAAGCATTTTTAGACGATGTAATAGTCTAGGTCAACTATTGTAACTCTTTTTGATGTAATAAAGATGAAATATTTTAATTCTATGTAAATTATGTGTATTTGTGTGCTTATTACCTTATTATAAATATATATTTAATAAAGAATAAAAATAAGCGTCAAAATTAAAGTGTGAGATAAGTCCAATATCTCTAAATAAAGTCGTGGTGGTCGAAACAAGGATTCCGGGGAAATAAAGAACGCCAAAATCCGAGTTATAACGAAGAAGTTATGGCCCGCTGAAGTTTTACGGCAAAACCGGCACAGTACCGGGAGACGTAAATAGTGAATTTACGATAGAAGACTTTTTAGCCTTAGAGATCTAAACGAAAGTCTTAGAATATGTTAAATCGAGAAAATCCATAAAAATAACGCCCAAATCTGACTTCGTATGAAGAAGTTATGATTTTTCTAAGATTCGGCTTAGCAGTGCACGACCCGAAACTCGAACTTTAGTTCGAGCGGTTTTTGGCTTACGCAACCTAAATGAGAGTTGAAGATCTCATTAATAGGAACTCAACGGTAAAAAGACAGACGAAAACGGAGTCCATATGAAGGAGTTATGAATTCTTCGCGGTCATTTAACAGTCTAAACGCCTCCTATTGTTAAATTTGAGATCGGTCGAGAATTAGACAACGGAGTCTAAATGAAAGTTGTAGATCTTGATTTTACCTACGCGTGGATATAACGAACGTCGAAAACGGAGCTCGTATGCGAAAGTTGTGATTTTTCTAAGTTTGAAGGCTGATACGCGATAGGGGTGACGTGGCACCACCAGAATTGGACACGTGGCACCACCAGAAGGTTGCCACATGCACCAACTCGGCGAGTCATGACTCAGACTCGGCGAGTCCATCATATTTCTCCACTATAAATAGAGGTGTCGGGTCTAGCCTCTTCCTCACCCCTCAACCCTCTTCTTTCTCTCTCTAAACTCTCTCTCTCTAAGCTCCCTAACCCCCCTAAAAGCCTAGGTAAACCCCCTAGCACCCGAAGGAAGCCCCGAGGCTCCCAGAGTCTGGAGAAAAGAACCTTTCGGCTCGGGAACGCTGCTCCAGCGAAGCCCGGTTTTCGAGAAAAACCCGCTGTAAGTGAGTTGTACCTATCCTATCTTTAGTTTAGCTTATGTTTTAATATAGGAATGTTATTAGGTCCTTAAAATTATTATTTGGGCTATTATTATGAGTTATATTGAGTGTTATTAACGCTTATATAATAATAATAATAGTCAGACAATTAATTTTTCGCGATTATCATTAGACTAAACCCTAGTGGTATCGATACTAGGCTTTATCGAAGGAAAATCGTTGTGAGAGTATCGAAGCGCTGTCCGAGTGCTGAGTCACCACCTTTCAGGTGAGTGCATAGTTACTTTCATCTTAAACATAGATATGAAGTATTTTATATATTACGTGTTATGTGTGCATATTATCTGTATACTTGTTATCTATGTTGGATGAATGTTTTTATGCAAGTTTTAAATGATTTAAACTGTATATGTATTTTATATCTACAAAAATGTTGGGGTAAAACATGGGTAGATATAATAAGACGATGTGTGATAAAATGATGAGAGGCCTCAATGTTGTTGTTGTTGATCCAGTCATCTAGCGGAGTATAGATGACGACCACGGACTTTTCTAAACAGTCCAGTGGAACGCTGGCAGACTCGCAACCTGTAGGTGTTGTGAACGATGTGTTCACCGGTGTACTCCATCCCCCACATGGTTTCCTTTAGGACATTTATTGCTGAGGAACCCCCTTAGCAGTAGTGTCTATCCCGATGATGACCCTTAGGATAGGTCCCTTATGATAGGTGTTTAGGGACGTAATGTGAGGATAACGGGAACGGGTAATCGGGTTATTGTTGATTGATGGAATTAATAAACTTATTTATTGTGGGTTGAAAACCCTATGTACTCACCAGGCTCCCAAGCCTGACCCACTCAGTTTTATGTATTACAGGAAGTGGCGCTTGAGCATAGATATGATGTTGGACGAGGGATTACGGATATAGGCCTGTAGATATGAAATAATGTAGTAAGGCTTATATTGTACTGTTTATGCTTTTGATCTGTACGAACATGACATCCCGATTCTTTTAATGAAATACATTTCTATGGAAATGCTTATGATAACTCTTTATCATATTTTGTTTGGGACAAATTCCGCAACACTTTTATTTAAAATGTTACTCTGATTTTTAAACAAAGTATAAACAAACCGGTCTTTTCTGGCCGTGATTTTGGGGATGTGACACTAGTGATCTTCGGCCTTAACGGCGACAATGAAGACCTCAACGGAGGTGGTGTTGCGGCGCCATAAATCGCGAGAGTGGAGGTGGCGGCTGGACTCCAAGCTAGGGTTAGGGTTACTCGGTAGATTATATACCCGACCACTCTTATCAAACTTATTCCATAGTGTCACAAATGGTTCGTACAGCTCCCATTTATTTCAAAATAGATCCATATTTTACCTTTTTAACCCTTTCCATCTAAATTCCCTTCAAATTAAATCTGGAAATTACCATTTAAATCCTCAGCATTAAAATCATTTACACCTTAGGTACAAAATTTACCAAACAACCCCCAATATCTTAATTATGACATAATAATTATGACAAAATTTACAAAAATTACTTTTAAATTAAATCCAAATAATTACCACGGAGCCCCTGACTTCATAAATAATTATAAACTGGGTCCGGAGCTTAAACTTTTAACCCTCAACTTCTAAATTATGCCAAGTAACTCCTCGAGACCAACTCTTATTATATAATTATTGATTTTAGGGCTAGTATCCATTCATCAACTTTATCTATTTATTTATTTAATAAACGGGGTGTTACAATGATGTTATTGGATGAAATTGATTGTGTTGGTATATATTTGTTTCCATATTTTTGCATTATGCATAAATGAGTATCGTAAAGACGCTTCGTAAATGTATATCGTAAATGGTTGCTAAAGTTTATGACACACAAATGCGTGTCATCTTCATTTACGACAGGGGCTTTATTGGTACGCAATTCGTGTCCTAAACATGCGTCGTAAGGTTACGAAACGCAAATGCGTGTCGTCTTCCTTTATGACAGGGACTTCCTTGATACGCATTGCGCGTCGTAAATGCATGTCGTCTCTCATTATTACAGGGCCTTCCTTGACACGCGTTTGCGCGTCGTATGACCGTTTTCTTACACACATTGCACGTCGTAAAATGTTGTTGTTTCTAGTAGTGTGTTTTGGTTCAGGGAGTGAGTAGAGCTGATTTCGGGCAAAGACGTTTCAACTATCATCCGACATTTAAGGTGAGTTTCATCCTGTTTGAACGAGTCGAAAGCACCAACTCTATAACATCCCCATATTTTTCGGCCAGAAAAGACCGATTTGATTTATGATTTTAAAATAAAATCAGAGTAATCTTTTAAAAGATGTTGCGGAATTTGTCCCCTAAACAAAATATGATAAAAATTTATCAAAACATTTCTTAAAGAAATATATATTTTCATTATATATCAAAACTCGGGATGTCATGTTCCGATACAGACCAAAAGCATAAACAGTACATCATAAGCCTTACAACAGTTATTTACAACTACTGTCTTATAATCTAAAAATCCCTCTTCATAATCCAAACTATGATCTGGGTCCACTACCTATAATATAAAAAGTTGAGCAGGTCAGGCTTGGGAACCTGGTGAGCATATAGGGTTTTCAACCTACAAATAATAATAAAAATATTAATTTCATCGATCAACAATAAATTTATTGATTTCATCAACCAACAATAACTCTAATTACCCGTTCCCATTATCCTTACTTTACATCCCTAAACACCTCTCATAAGGGACCTAGCCTAAGGATCATCATCGGGATGGACACTACTACTAAGGGGATTCCTGAGCCATATATGTTTGTAAGGCAACCATGAGGGGGGTGGAGTACACCAGCGAGTATATAGTTCACCAACACCTATAGGTTGCGAGCATGCTAGCGTTCTACTGGATTGTCTAGAAAGGTTCGTGGTCATCATCTATACTCCGATAGATGACTAGAACAACAACAACAACAACAACAACATCGAGGCATCTCATCATTTTAACACACAACAACTATTTCATCTACCCATGTTATACCAACATATTTGTAGATAAAAATACATATACAGTTT